CACTGCCTTGAATTCCTTCCTATTTGAAATAAAGCAGATCTAGACAAAGAATCCAGTCGTGATTTCAAGGGTTTGAGTGATAGAAGCAACTGGCTACAAATGTGGGCCGTATTGTGGGTCTGAATTTGTCCAGGCCTTGGATCTTGTTCCTTTGTCTGCTAGACTGGGCTCTATAATCAAATTTCTTTTCACTCTCTAGATCAGGGGTCGGCCACCTTTTCACACCCAAGAGCCAAACTATGTGGTCAACAAAGAGCCAGTATGAGAATGTTCTAGTGTGCTAGGATTCTATGGATGTTACCAGCAGCGGTTGCAGGTGTGGGGAGCCCTAGGCGCAGGGGCGGGCTTCACAAAGGCACGTCCTGATTCAGGGCTACCCAGAACTGCCAGCTCCCGCAACATCTGGTTTTGAAGCGTTTCTTGGTCTGCTGCATCTTTCCCATGGATTTTTGCCTCTGCCCTCACGGCAGGACCAAGCCCCGGCTAGACCATCCTCAACAGGGGTTTGATTTCACTGCAGCCTCTTCAAGTGTCAATGCGGCGGCACCTAGTGAAGATGGCCGCCATCGCCCCTGGTTTCCAATGTCCAGGGCGTGACAAACAGCGGCGAAAACCACTCGCCAGCCCCGTACTGCGCAAGACCCACATTGAGTGTGTGCGCCCCGCCGGTGAACGGGGCACGCGGCTGAAATCGACTCGCCACGAGTAGATTCTATAGCTTGTCGAGCCCGGCCAATGTCGATAAAGCCAGGCTGCCCTCATGGAAGATGGACGCCACGGCTAGGAACTCGGAGCGGGCAGGGGACTGCAGCATGCAGGGAGAGGTAGATAGGGGTCTGAAGAACGGGCAGTTGGCTAGAGGCTGATACGATGGAAGGGGAAGAGGCTGGGAAAAGGAGGGAACACGCAGGGGGAAGGGGATACTGGGTGTAGAGGGGGCAAGAGAGTGTGGGGCAGGGACTGACTGGGGACAGGGAGGAGCTGGAAGGAAGGGAATGGAGAGAGATGTAGTTGTTCTCTCATGCTAAAGGCCGGGGAGGAATAAGCAGGCTGCTCTGGAGGAGGCTGCTATTTTGGGCACGTCCTTCCAAGCGTGTGTGGACCCCGGAATGACGGCACACGACGTGGGGTCAGCCACTTCCTAGGAAACCCCAAACACCACAGGCAAAACAGCGCGGCTGGGGGCTGTTGGCGAGCCTCTGGCTTCTGTGGTCTGCCTGACGGTAATTTGGGGGCGGCGGCACCTTGGGCTTTGACCCTGAGACACCAGAGCGACAGGTGGGTCCCTGTGGACTGCAGCGTATGCGACCCTGGGCCAGGTGAAGGAAGCAACCGGGCCGGGTTCAATATTTAGGAGTGACTCATAACACTACATCCCAGAGCCGGGTCTCGCCCCCACCCAGGAAAGCCACACTCCCCCCGGGCACCTCTGAGAAGCAATACTTCCCGGCACACAAGAGCTGCGTGTGTAAGGAAAGAGAACTGTCCGCAGAGCTAGGAAAAGCATCCGTGTGGCAAAGAACCACAGTCATAGAATCATAGATACGAGGACTGGAAGGGACCTCAAGAGGTCATCGAGTCCAGCCCCCTGCCACATTCAAAGTCACATTCAAAGCTGTATGCCAGTGGTCCTGAACGTGGTGCCCGTGGGCGTCATGGTGCCCGCCGGGCCATTTCTGTGTGGCCACCAAGTGATCGGGGCCAGCCCCACCCCCAGGCACGTGGCGTATGGACAGTCCCATCCCTGGGCGTGCAGCACCGTTGTGGCGCCAGCCCCGGGAGTGCGGCGCATGGGTGGCGCCAGCTCCAGGCATGCAGCGTATGGGTGGCCCCGCCCCCAGGCACGTGCGCAGCCCCGCCCCCGGGCGCATGTGTGGCCCCGCCCCCGGGTGCCTGGCGTGTGAGCGGCCCCACCCTCGGGCGCCCGGCAGCCCCAAAAGTTTGGGTACCACTGCTGTATGCAGTCATAAGCCAGCAGTAACCAGGGCACGCCCCCGGGTGCCTGGCGTGTGAGCGGCCCCACCCTCGGGCGCCCGGCAGCCCCAAAAGTTTGGGTACCACTGCTGTATGCAGTCATAAGCCAGCAGTACCCAGGGCAATGCCCTGTGCCTCAGTTTCCCACTTTGCAGTAGGAAAATCCCGTGGGTCAGCACCCCGGAGGCACAACGCTCCCCTCTCCCTCCATTTTACCCTGCTCCCAGTGTCTGTCCTTGGTTAGCAAAGAGTCAGAGCTCAGAGGGGCCTCTGTGTGTGGTTCCCCCTTTGCCCCCAGAACTGGGGGGGCAGGGAAGCATTGAGCAACACTCCCCTACTGCCTCTGCACCTGACCCACGGTTGCTGCCATTTATTGCCCTCGTTGGCCCCTGCTGCCGTCTGTCACTCTGGCCCTGCTGGCTGCTTCTCCGCTGCCACTTGTCCCTCCTAGGGATGTCACCGTGTAGTCGAGTATACGAGGAGCCGATGAGCCTGGGTTTCTCTGTTAATCTTGTTGACTATATGCATCCTCCCCCCTACTCTCCTTGCTGCCTCTATATAGAGGCAGCAGCTTGGAGGGGGGGGACAGAGGCTGGGTGGCGGCCGGGGGCCCGCGCCCCGGGGGGGCCGGG